CCTCCTTTCGCTCACCTTACATCCAAATTATACTAAAATTATCATTTTCTAGTTTGCATCCTTTGTGCGCCCAATACATTCCATCATTCATCTCTCTCCAAGTTTTTACTTGATCATCTTTCTTTTTTTGTTTATTACAAATAATATGAGAACTTTTACTATAAATTAATTCATATATCCTATTATGAAAACTAGTAATAAACATAATATCTGGTCATTTTCCAACTCTTCTTTGATCTTTACTAGTTATACTTTGACGTTTTACTATAGAAATATAATCAGATTTTCTAATAGGAAAATCTTTTAACGATACTTGAATTAATAAAACTATTATATCAGCTATATACATCCCTTCACTTTGTAACTTAACAAGTTTTGTTTCAAAAGCGGGATTTTTCCAAATATCTCTTCTATAAAAAATATCATTAAATAAAATTTTATTTAAAAAAAATAATAATATAAATATTGCAATATTACATTATACTATAAGCTTTATTATGAAATACTCATAAGATATCAAGTATCTCTGATGTAACTTTTGCTAGTTTTTCGTCTAATTTTTTCTAGCTTTTATTGTGTATAAGTCTATTTATTAGAATATTTGTAATGCTATCTTTAAAATTTAAAACAAAGATTTCACATATGTTCTTTACAAGAGCTAGACCAGTTACTTTCATATGTTTCAAAGATTCCTATGAGATTAATTAATATAATACCAGTTTGTTGAAAGTATTTTACAATTAAATAAGATATATTTGTTAATTACTTACCATAAAAATATTATATTCTTCAACTTTTAAAGTTCTCATCATTTTCAAATCTGCACATATTATTTGACTAGCAATTAGAATATTCCATGATAATTTAGAAATACCTTTCTTCTTTAAATATTTTCAAAAATGGGAAGTATATGAAGCATTGCTTTTTCTGAGATTAGTTTCATATAGTTTCGTGCTGTTACCACAATTTGATCCATCTAACTAATAAGCAATATAAGTATACTTTTGACATGTATTTTACATCTCTAAAATATTAAAGGATATCCATTCAACATATATTTACTATTACTTGCAGATAATGAGCATCTCTTATAACATTTTCATTCCACTTAACTAATCATTAAATTGAGAATGAAAATGTACTGAATTATATAATCTACACTAATTACTTTTGGATTCAGTTCATCGCATTTTGTAAATTTGTAAATTGTTTAAATTTTTCTAATAATTCTTTTTCAGATATTGAATTCATTTGAATTTTTGTGGTAGATATTTGAGCTGTTGATGTTCCTTCTTTTAAATAATATGAAGAAGGATATTCTTCTAGTGATTTTGATAAATATTTATTATTGTATCCTTTATTTATTGAACATGATATTATTCAAATATAAATACATTGTTGTTTTTACTTCTCTTCTTCTAAAGGTTTATCTCAACAACTTGAGTTTTATAACATTATTATTAACTATAAATAAATTTAATTTTAATTTAGAAATGGTAAAATAATAATAATTTAATAATTAGTTACCTTAACACAAATTAGATGCTAATTTTTCTCATATTAATTTCCTTGAGCCTAGAGTTCTAAACAAGTTAAGTTAACTCACAAGTCAGATGAGTTAAGTCAAGTTTAAATCAGTCAAATTTATATTTTTTTGACTTGATAATTTACTAATCATGCCAAATTCAAGTCAAGTTAAATATTTAATTTGACTTGATTTAAACTTGACTTAAACTCAATTTGACTTGAGTTGATTTAAAATAGTATTATTAATAAATTAATATTTTAAAACTATAAAATTATACATTATAATAATTGAAATACTTTATAATAGT